CCGCTTACCAGGCCCCTCACGTTCCTTAGAGGCAGGACACCAACGTAAGCTGGGGATGCGTCCTCCAAAGTCACCCCGAAGGCGGGAAGCGTGAGAATTAAACGTTACACCTCCCCGGCCGGTCAACGACTCTCTCACGGTCGATGTTTCTGCCTCTCTCTCTCCCTGTCTCTTCCTCTCTTTCTAAAATCAATAAAAACATATTTAAAAGAAAAAAAAAAATCCCCCAGGAGCACCCCGTCTCCAAGACCAGGGGAATTCGTCTTATACCCAAGAAAGGCCAGGGCCCCGAGATGTCAGTCGCCCGTCAGCAGCAAGAGGTAGTTGACCCGCATCCGGTGTCAACCTGTCCCTGTTCCAGTTCTGCAAGGAGCACACACCCCCTGTCCGGAGACACCCTAAAAAAAAAAGGCTCTGTTTCTATCCAGACCCGTAGGATCCAGCCTCTCCGGCCCTCGGTAGGATAAACCCAAGAGAAATGAAAACGTGAACCAGCAGCACCGGGCCGTGTCCCTCGCACCCACTGGGTGGGGCGGGTGGGAAAGGGTGTCCCAGAAAGGAACCCGCTCGGGGTGTCCTGGTCCTGCTTCCCTAGCTGGGTGGGTCCCGGTGGGGAGTCACGCCCCAGGCAGGTAACTTCTTCAGTGAAAGGTTATTTATGGGCCTTTCAGCCGACCCTTCTCCTATCCATTGTCCTCGTGCATCAGAGGTGGACACCCCTTTGAGATAAATGCCAGAATAGGCCTCGAAGACGCTCAAGCAGGCACACGGTCACCCGGGCTGGGTAGTTCCATCAGTTAGAGCATCATCTTAATACACCAAGGCTGCACCAAGGTTGTGGGTTCGAGTCCCGCTCAGGGGACATCGGAGAAGCCTCCAGTGTAGGTATCAATACATCGGACAACTGATGTTTCTCTCTGCCTAAAATCAACCATTGGCTGGGCAGTTCCGTCGGTTAGAGCATCATCTTGATACACCAAGGNTCTCTCCCTCTCTGCCTAAAATCAACCATTGGCTGGGCAGTTCCGTCGGTTAGAGCATCATCTTGATACACCAAGGGGCCCGGCTGGGTGTGGCTCAGCGGTTGAGCCTTGACCTGCGATCGAGGCGATCGGGGTTCGATTCCCGGTCAGGGCACAGGCCCGGGTTGCGGGCTCAATCAATGACTCTCTCATCATGGATCTTTCTATCTCTCTTTCTCCCTCTCCTTTCCTCTCTCTGAAATCAATAAAGATATATTTAAAAAAAAAATACACCAAGGCTGCACCAAGGTTGTGGGTTTGAGTCCCGCTCAAGGAATATAGGAGAAGCATCCAGCGTAGGTATCAATAAATTGAACAATTGATCTTTCTCTCTGTCTCTCCCTCTCTGTCTAAAATCAACGATTGGCTGGGTAGTTCCGTTGGTAAGAGCATCATCTTAATACACCAAGGCTGCACCAAGGTTGTGGATTCGAGTCCCGCTCAGGGCATAGGAGAAGCATCCAGTGCAGGTATCAATAAATTGGACAATTAATGTTTCTCTCTGTCTCCCCCCACCCTCTCTAAAATCAATGATTATTATCTTTTTTTAATTTATCTTTATTGTTGAAGGTATTACAGCTGCCTCCCCTCATTTTCCCTGCACTGGGCCCCCCTCCACCGCCCTCCTGCCCCACCCCAGGTCCTCCCCATGCTTTTTTGTCCATGTGCCTGGGTTATGCACACAAGCACGTCTGCACTGCTTGTTCTATCCCTCGCCTGAGGTCCAGGACCACGTTGGGATCCCCAAACGCCTCTTACACGGAGCACGTGGAAGCACCAGCCTTTTCGTTCTTAAGCACGTACCATGGAGATTTCTGCTGAATTTGTGCCCAGTCAAGATATCCAGCGTCTATCTTGGGAAATACGTTCGGGTTTGCGACTATATTGGTTTTTGTTTTTTCGTAGTGAGTGTATTTCTCTATGAAAAAAATTAAAAATTAAATTAAATTAAATTAAATTAAAATAATAAAATAAAATAATAGAATAAAAGAAAATAATAAAATAATAGAAAATAATAAAAGAAAAGAATAAAATAAAATCAAATAATAAAATAAAATATAAAATAAAATAAAATACAATAAATAAAATAAATAAAATAAAATAAAATAAAATAAAATAAAATAAAATAAAAGATGATACTTAAGAAATGATTGGGCCCTCGCTGATGTGGCTCAGTGGTTAGGGCGTCGGCCCTGGAACTGAAAGCCTCGGGTTCGACTCCCCATCAAGGGCGTGCACCTCCGGTGGTTGCCGGCTCCCACCCCGGGCCCTGACCACGGATCCAACCCACAGCCTTGGTAGACTGGGGAAGACGCTCCCACCGAACCGAGCTATCCGGCCAGGGCTGCACGATTTTTTTTTAAACACATTTTCCCGATAAATGATGTGTTTTCTCTTACAGTGTTTGTGTGTCTGTTTTTTTTTTTTTAATGCATAAAAACAAAGAATCTCCCCAGAACCCCTAAACCGCAAAGCAGGCACGGTGTCCACAGGAGATTTTGTGAAACAGTCCGATGGCGTTTTGGGGGCGCCGGAGGCAGGAAGTGTGAGGGGTGCGGCTGGGCGTTGGGGAGGCTATGAAACCCGCATCATTCGACGCTCTTGCCTCCTTCGGTAGCCGGCGACGAGGGACTGAAAGCACTTCAGACTCAAAATGCGTCTTTTGCGGCCAGGAGCAAAAAAGCGTCTGGAGCAAAAAAGCATCGGATGGCATTTTTCGGAAAGGGGCTGACCACCTCTAACCGGCACGTCCTGGCCTGGACACGCCTGCATTAAGCACTGAAGCTCCCTAATTCCTTCCCGTCGAATCAGAGATGGACCTTACGTGGTCCCTGGTGGCTCAGTCGCCTGGGGCCGTCCTCACAAACTACCCCATACTGGGGGGTGGCTTAAAAAAATATAAATATATTTTTTTAATACTCACCGAAGGATATTTTTTCCCCGTTGCTTTTCAGACAGAGTGGAAGGGAGAGAGAGGAGAGCAAGAGAGACACATGGGTGGGTTGCCTCCTGCACACGCCCTGACCGGGGTCGGGGGGGATGCAGCCTGCAACACAGATATATGACCTTGGCAGGAATCGAATCCGGGACCCTGGAGTGCATGGGTCCGGTGGTCCAACCGCTGAGCACAACCGGCCAGGTTGGGCCCAGTCTCCAACTCATCCCGGTCCAGCTTTCAATTTGGCGACGTCTATCTAGGTTTTCACCCGAGGACGGGACCTGAGCCGTCGAAACAGGAGGCCGGCCTCGGCGCAGAGAAGTCCACCCTCGGCACGTGAAGCTAGGAAGACAGGAGGCGGAACGGGGAATCCGGGCCCTTTCCGAGATAACTGCTCAGCTCTTGCATAGGTTAGAATTTTTATTTTTATTTTTTTTTAATTTTCACAGGCTGGGGGGGGTTGCAGGCCGTGAAAGCGCAGCACCGAGCACCATGCCACAGGGAAAAAGATTTCCTCTGGCCCCGCAGAGCTATTCTGGATACGTAGGCTCCGCCTGCAAACAC